CTCTCTCTGTGCATATACAGTACATCATATTACTGCATGTATCTATCTGTAAATCTCAGTCACTAACTACCTACTTTCCTTGGAGCTCTTGATCTCTCTTAGGCTCCTCGAGATCGTTGGTTGACGGTCTGCCAGAACGCCCTTTTACCTGCTTTTTGTAAAGTGTCTAGAGATATGAGTTGACGCTATACAACTAAAAATTGATTGATTGATTGATTGATGATAAAGTAGCTGTCATGCTCTCTGTGTTTTTCTCTGATGTGCAGACGCGGACTCGACTGCGCATCTCTTTTTCTCTCTCTCTCTCTCTCTCTCTCTCTGTCTCTCTCGAGTCCGCCTGTTTGTAAACTGAGCACGCTTCATAATAACAGCGTGCATGTGTTGTATTACAACGTTATGTACAAGAGGTAATCATGCTTTTAAGCACGGTTAGTCCTGGCCAGTGTGACCGCGGGCCGTGCCGGCCAGCGTGGGAATGGCGCAATGGGGGGCCAATCGTGTTTGAGTACAGCACGGTACATATGGCCAGTGTGACCGCGCCCTGAGAGGCTCTGTGAGGTAGAGCCTTCAGTTTTCAGGCCCCTTCAGTTAAGCATACCAGTGCATGCATATGGATGCAAATACTATAAGAGACGACCACTTGTTAAGCTAACAGTCTAGCCTGCAGTTTCGATTAGCATCACAAATGCACAGTCATCCGTGATACCGTGTTACATTGTACATTTATGTTATAAGTTTTTATTCAGTATGCTTACTGCGGGACAACTACTTACTACTCTGTTGTCAGTTTGTATTTGTGCTGTATTATGCTTGTTTAGATGCTTATAGTCATCTATCTGTGTGAATATGTTGCAACCAGTCAATACACAGACGATCTGAGGAATATTTTGTGTCCGTGTTTCTTGACTCAAATATTTTTTCATGGCTTTTACATATTTACAACTATTAACTACTAAGTATTAAGTAAACCATACACCCATTTAAGTCCAAACTAAAAAACTATACAGGACATTCATACATGTTGTGCAGTAAGTGGCAAGTCAATTTAAAGTGACAGTTATCAGGTTGTTAGGTGGGGGTTATTTCTGTAGTAGATGGACAATGATGAAATCGTGAAACAGACTGTGGATCATCTTGTTGCCATGGTCAGACAACACAGAAACACAACACACATGGCTTACAAAGTGCTCCTATTTGTGGTGCTACATAGACTCTGGATGCATGTAAAGTACTGTACAGTATCTATTGCAGTTGTCCTTTAACATTGTCTAGTTCTGATTACTTGAAGCATTCATGTGGGTGTTTCATAGTGTAGTTTGCTTTCTATTGGTTTCAAACTAGGAAGTGGCCACCCGGTTGGAAGGAATGCACAGTGGTCTCGGCTGGTGGAATCTACCACCTGCTTAGAGCACTGAGAAACAAAACAGAGTAAATACTGAGCATATTTGATCAATTAAAACAAGTCCTAATCTTTCTAAAGATTTAAAATTCTGTCATTGATAACCATGCAATAACACATTCCATCCTCTAGGCTTTGATTTCTAATACTGTCTGAGTAAAAAGATAAACCATTTTAAGAGAAAAATTATGATTAAAGGTATCTGCCTTTGGCTCTGTGTCAGTCGTTGCAGAGTATACAAACAGCTTGTCATATACAGTATGTCATAATATCAGCTTGTCATGCATTAACAGCTATATTTGGGTTTACCATGTCTTAGTTTACTGACATGTTATGCATTATGAGAAAACTGTAGAATTAGTTTATCTGTTAGCTTAACTGGTCCTATTTTTCTGTCTTATCATTTGTTTATGTTACAAGGCCATTGAAATCCCATGTTTTAAACACAGATAACATGTAGTCTCTATCCCACAAAAGATCACATGCTGAAGTGTTATTTATTAAAACCATGGACCTTAGTCCAGTGTCTGTTTGTCAAAGCTACCTCCTATGGGATAGTGATTATCAGTCCATGCCGCTGAACAAGTCAAATAAAGTTCTACATTATAAAACTTAATCTGCTCTGGATCTACTCACTCAGAGCAATTTTATTAACAGATAAATCTGCTAAAAGTTAAAAATGTGTTACCTATGTTATTACTTTTTTATGGTTAGTTATTTTAGCTATTGTTTAAGAGTTTATTATTTTCCTATTTTTATTCATTTTATCATTAACAATAACTTCATTAGTTTCATGCACACACAACAAATTAGTAAATTAAAGCTATAAATGACTCTTCTTTATTTCTCATATTCTTCCATGTATTTCTGTATCGATACTTTTTCCATTAAAATCCCTTTCCATAAAAAAATCATCAGCTGCTATCATTCTCGAATTAATTAATACAATTTTACAAAGGGTTTCTACGTTTTTTATTCTGCAAGCCTACCCCTACAGCTAAGTATTAGCTGCTCTAAATCCCCTGATTTAATAATAAATCTAACACCGAGGTTTCTAAAACATGCTTACCTCTGCAGCCCTGCCAGTGTTCAAACTGCAGTTAATTCTATGTTCCTCATCAAATTTTCACAAACATAACATCGATATTCTAAATCCCAAAGATAAACTCTGTCACAGCAGAAAGTCCTCTAATTAGCAATACCATGTAAAACATAGACAACATAGCAATAACATTAATTATACATTTTAAATTTTATGAAGTCCAGAAATACAACACTGATTTACTTCAACTACAGTACTTATAAATGTCCAGTCCAATAATACTTAATTGTCCAACTCATACAGAAATAGTCCCCAACAGGTCTGGAAGAAATACTTCTTCCAGGCAAGCAAAAAGGTTGAATTGCTTACCTGGGTCTGAAGTGACTGTTACTGTTATGTAGTCACTGTTAGGTGGGGGTTATTTCTGTAGTAGATGGACAATGATGAAATCGTGAAACAGACTGTGGATCATTTTAGGATTTATTCAGCCATGGTCAGACAACACAGAAACACAACACACATGGCTGACAAAGTGCAGACCATCGCTGACCAAGATCTCACAATTGCTTGCAATCATCCTCCTGCCCCTGAGGTTTGCATCAGCAGCCTGGGGGGGCAGGTGGGAGTGTGCCGGTGGAGGAGCTCAGATAGGTAGGGGGGAGCCAGGTTATAGAGCTGAATTATGGAGAGATTTATCACCTTCAATATGAGTCTCGCTGAGGGTAATGGGGGGCCTTAGTAATCCCCCTCGGTGCCATCTTTAGAGGTAGTAACAGAGGCGTTACAGAGGAGATCAGCTGAGCCAGCGGGAGAGAGCAGCGCTGTGTGGGTGCATGTCTGACTGTGTGTGTATGAGGAGCAACCACTGTGACATGCTTCCACATGCAAACGCAATGTGAACTCGTTTGGATAATTGAAGTATGATACATTAAAATATTTGTTTGTAGGGGCACTGGTGACGCAGTCTCCACGCCACCACAAGCCACCATCTTGGCGTCTCTGCTTTTCCACTTCAAAAGGTGTTTTCCATAACACCTTCAAACCTGAAGACAGGCCAACCAATGAAGGCTGCAACTTTCAACAACCATCAAACCGACACTTTCAAGACTCTTGCCGAGCTAGGTTTCCACCCAAACAGTGGGTTAACCGTGAAACCTGTGACAATAGGGCACAGGAGTGGCATCAGAACTACCACTCCCGCCCAAGATACCACCGGTTTACTCGTGACGCGACATGATTTCCCAAACAACCGAATCTGGGAAAATGAGAAGTCACCCCCTCTGATGAAACTTGAAAAGGTTAGCAATGGCACAGAAACTCCTCCCCTTTCAAAGAAAGAGCTAGAAGTTATCAGGCGCCTCCTCAATGGATGCCCTAGGGACAGTAACAAAGCTGATCTTCTTGCAGTTGCCTTAGTAGACCCCAAGACTCCTCCTATAGACCAGCAAAATGAAGTAGAGGACGAAGACCTTTGTCGGAACGTTACTGTCTACTCATTCCAATCAGACGCGTCTAACGAACCTGAGAACCAACAACTCGAGATAGACCATGACAATGCAGTCCTAGGAGTCAGCGCTAATTCAACAGAAATATCTCTCAATAATGGCCTTACAGTCACACAAGGTGAACCGCTTTTCCAACGGTTCTTGTGTCACCTAATCGAAAAAGGAGTGGCCCGGAAGTTCTACTTGTCAACCACCCTCGAAAATCAGCTTGAGCACGAAGCTCTCCTTGACACGGCAGCCGACGTCACCTTGATGTCATTGAAACTTTTCAATAAACTACGTAAACTAGCTCATCAATCCAATAGGGATTTAAAGCTCCAACCATGTACACTGGAGATCCAACCGTACTCCAAATCTAGCAAAATGATCAGAAAGTTGGCACTGGAACAACTAACCATTGCACCAATGACCTTCCTGCACCCGGTTTATGTGTCTTTACTCAAATCCAAATAGCGTTATTAAAATCATAGAAAGTATAATCTTGGATATTTACTTCATTAATCTGCATTACTGTTCACAATTCCTGTAATAAATTCATATGTAATCATTTACAACTTTGTATTTATTTAATGATTAAAATGCTTTTATGGATTCACTATTCTGATATTAGTTGTAGTAATTAATGAACGAATCAATCTAATGTTTATTTCTTTCAGTTTATCAAGCTTGTGGTGCTCCCCCTTTAATTTAACTGGAGGTAAAATTAGGGTATTAATATTGTAGGAGCCAATTTAGTGTGTGTGTATTTATGTATTGTATTTCAATGGCTTTTGTATATATGTTTATTTATGTACTCAATTTGGACACTAGGTGGTGATAATTGATAATGTAAGTGTTTATATGTCACAGGTGAACAGGAAACGGGGGCATAGGTGGTGGGAACATACGGTTCTTACCTTAACACAACGCAACACAGGATAACGCAAGTAGGCTATTTAACATAACAAAAGAACGACAACCAACAGTATAATCTCAGATATAACAACTCATCATATCATCATCACGGTTTGTCTCTGCTTCATATGTGACAATAAACTGGAACATCAGAAAGTACTTTAATTTTGGACATTTGTTTATTTTTTACGCATAAAGAACTTTCCATACACCTATGCAAGTGACTAAAGGCAAGAGAAGAAATTTGGACATTAGATAGTCACTACAAAAATCTTAATAAATTAATTACGCTACAGAATTCACAAAATTACTCTAACTGATGTCACTTGTCTTAATAATGTTGTAGATGACCTTAGTTACTTAGCTGCAGATATTCACAGTTCTCCCTGTCGCTGACAGACATCACATTCACTTGACTTCTCTTCTCTGCGCTCCAGTTTCCCTTAACCTTTGTAAGCAGGCTTTGGTGTAAGCTGGAAAACAGTCTCCATTGAGAGTTCAAACAGGAGGAATCAACCGTAGGACATCCCAGCTCTCAGCAGTTATCTGACAATGATTGTAATGAAGAACAGTAACAGAGTATTTTTCCTGTATCACGTCACTCTGTAAATAATGCTCTGATTTCACTCTGTGTCAGTTACCCCGTGTTTATCTCCACTGTCTGAGCCACAGAGCAGACTCCACTCCTTTCCTCCTGAAGGATCAGCAGCTCTCCAACCGTCTGCTGCCCCTGGACCACAATGCACTGCTCCGCCTCATCAGATATAACCACCTCCACCAGCTCTGACCCTGCCCCACCTGGCAGCGAGTTATCGGTTGTGAGCATCAGAGGGGCAGAACTCTGCGAGGACAGATCTTCTGAGAGGATGTAGACAACATCACTCAAAGCCTCCTTCTCTCCTTCTCTGTCTGCTGCATCTTCTTTTCCCTGAATCCTCCTCCTCTTCCCTTGCCCTGCCCTGTTCTCCCCTGGGAGCGAGTACTTCCTGGGTCGTCCTCTGATTGGCTTCTGGTGACCAGAGCGTAAATACACTCTCTTGTTGCTGTCAGTGTCCTCTCTGTTTCCTTTCTGTGACCCCTCCCCCTTCCCCTCCTCCTGAGGTCCTCCCTGTGACTCCGCCCTCTCTTTATTGGCCCCTCCATCTACGGGGTGCTGTGCCTGGTGTCTGAGCAGACTCTGTCTCACGGTGTACGAGGCTCCACAGTGACAACTGAATGGTTTCTTTGCAGCGTGGGAAGTTTTGATGTGTCGCCTCAGTTTGGTGGCCAACGTGTAGCCTGGAAACAGACAGAATCCCGAAAAGTAAGTAATCAAATAAGAATACATGAGAATGTGCGTGTCTGAGGCATCTTCATTACAATAGATGAAGTGTTGAGATGTAAAGACTGGAGGTGGGTTTCACCACCACAGCACATTTGACAGGGGTTTCCAGGGCAGCTTAGGGCTGTTCCTGACACAAATGGAGAAAACCGTGATCCTAAATCCCTGAGAAGACGGTCTGGCATGGATTGTGGTTGTTTTTAAGAATTAAGTTTTGTACTTTTTATAACTATTTGATAGGACAGTGGATAGAGGAGGAAACCTGAGAGAGAGAGAGAGGGTGAGGAATTACATGTGTGAAAGGAACCATAAGTCGGATTGGAACCCAGGTGGCCCACATGGAGGCCTAAACCTCTGTACATGGGGCGCTACCTGACTCTACACCATTGGGGCCCCCCCTTGCATGGATTGTTATGCAGGATCCATTTTAATTAGTCATGACCAGCAGGTGAATCTGTGTCCGTCCTGAAGGTTAGACTCTGTATTCAGGGACTTCAGAGCGCTGTTTGATTTTATATTTTAATATATTTCAATTTGAATGTCTTATTTTTGCTCTGTCTTGTTTAGGTCTGCAGCTCAGAGGGAACTTCCTTCCAGAATAATTATCTGATCAGACAATGTGAGATTTATTTTATCCTGATATAAGTGTTCTGACCTTTCCCACAGACAGGGCAGCGGTGTGGTCTCTCTCCTGTGTGCAGTCTCTCGTGGGACTTCAGGCTGTGGGGGTCTCTCAGAGATTTTCCACAGAAGCTGCAGAGGAACCCTCCTCCCCCTGAGTGACAGAACATGTGACGACGGAGCTCGGTCTTCTGAGAGAAACTCTTATCGCAGTCGGAGCAGTGATACGGCTTCTCTCCACTGTGGATCCTCAGGTGAGACTCCAGATTACCTGAGACACAGTCAGAGTCAGTCAGCTGGTCGCTGCACGTCACAACAGTTTGCAAACCTAAGTTCACCTGTCTGCTAATAAGCTTGTTACCTTTCTGACTGAAGCTCCTCCCACAGTGCTGACAGTTGTGAGGTTTCTCCCCCGTGTGCAGCTTCATGTGGTTCCTTAGAGAGCCGCCGTTAGCCAGCAGCTTGGGACAGAGCGGACACTGAACCTGAGAGAGGAACATGCAACCCAATCATTTTAAAAACCTTCTGTTCAAACTGTTAACTAAACGCATTTTTGGAACATGTCGTGAGCCTGTTATGGACTCAAATGATTCATCATGAAAATACATTGCAGTAAACAGCTCTGCTCTTCATCATCAGGAGAGTTTGGAAGATAAGTGGACTGGTTTCTCAACTTCTCAACTTGCAATCCAACACAATATGGCTTCATACTGGAAGAAACCAATGCACTTTAAAATCAGTAAAATTCATCGATATCTTTAGTAAGTAGCCGTGTTATAACCGGGATCGAGTAAAACCAGTGGGTTGTTTTAGAAGCAATACAGCACCTCAGGGTGAGTTCAAGCTCCATATCTTTAATAAAGACTCCCTGGCTGGTTATTGTCACTAAAATCAAACTTTTAGAACGTTGATTCATAATTACTTTAAATCTTGTGATGTTAATGTCTTTCTTCAGCATGCACACGTCTTCTCTCCTTTTGTGTACACATTGATGCATATAATGTATGTATATCAGTGTTTAACCTCCACACGTAGCTCTTTGGAATAATGTGACTCCATCAGGTGGACCGGCATACGTCTGAACGTCCACACAGAACCTTTAACAGTGTATACCTCCTCCTACCTTTGGAGTCTGAGTGTAGGTCACTCTGCTGCAGTGCAGGAGGCGGTGAATGCGTAGGGACGGCCGGCGTGCGAAGGCTTTCCCGCAGAGATGGCAGACATACGGCTTCTCCCCTGAGTGTAGCACCAGGTGCTCCTTCAGGTCCCGCTTCAGGCTGTACGTCTTCTCACAGTGAGGGCAGGAGAAGGGACGTTCCCCTCGGTGATTCATCTGCAACAACACCATCATTGGAGTTAAACTGTGTTATTAGCACAGCTTTGTCTCTGCTCTGTGTGTTTGGGGTTAATGACTCAGATCTCAAGCCTGTCCTCGTCCTCTCACACACCCATTTTCTTTTTTTTTAAGACTTTTTATTTATTTATTTATTTACATGTACAAAGAACATGAGATCAAAATGGGTGTTACAGGTAAAATCAAAGTATTATTTTACACATATATAATGGTATAATGTCATACTATTCAAGGTGCATACACAATCAATTTTTCCCAGCGTTCAATGCATTTCTCCAACTGAAGTCTTAAAACAAAAGTAAGTCTCTCCATACAGTAAATTTCTTGAATGATCCCGCGCCACTGGTCCAGTGTTGGAGGGTCTGGTTGCAACCATTTCTTATTTAGAGCTTTCCTACTACTTGCCAAGAGTATCTTCAATAAGTATTCATCCTTCTGTAGGACTGTTTCCGTTATTTTCCCGAGATATTAAGTAACAAAAGAGAAATCTAAATCCACCCCAATTATTTTATTGATCTCGGTAGCCCCCTCTCTCCAGAATGACTGGATTTTCGGACAGGCCCAAAAAACATGAAAGTCATTAGCCACAGAGGTTCCACATTGTCTCCAACAGAAGCCTCGGCTCTGTGTGCCTATTTGCAATGCTGTTATTTTAGGAGTTATAAAAAATCTCACTACATTCTTCCAGCCAAACTCTCTCAGTGATCTTGAGTTTGCAGTGGTCGCTTGTGTCTCACATATTTCCATCCAGATCTCTTCTGATATTTGTATTTCTGACTCCTTTTCCCATTTTTGTTTAATAGATAACGTAGAATGATTTTTAGAGGCTTGTATACTTCCGTATATTCTTGAGATCAACTTTTTATAGTCTTTTTTTTGGTATGCATCATGAAATATAGAAATCAAATTGTATTCCTTCTCCTCTTTGAGCTGTAATTTTTTATTGTAATAGTCTCTAACTTGCAGGTATCTATGGAAGTCCTGCTTTTCCAGTCCAAATGTGTCTGAAATTAACTTATAACTCTGAAATTTTCTGTTTGAGGTGAGGGAACAAAAGGATGTGATACCTCTCCTAACCCACTGTTTAAAGCCCCTGTCCAATTTAGCAGGTTAAAATTCTGGATCATATGCAACCCAATTCAAGACCCCAGCCTGTTTCTCCATTTGTAACTTCCTCAAAACCTTAAACCAGTGGTCACCAACCTTTTTTTTTTTTTTTTTTTTGCAATTCTCTTTTTATTGAGACAGACTTGAAACATACATACATGACATTTTAGCATCTCTACATGTTATCAAACCTGTTCTCCCTTTTTTTTTACACGAAAGAGAAGGAAAAAAAAGAAAAGTAAAACAAAATGGCACTCTTAACCCTGAGTGTTTACCTGATTACTGAGTCACTTACAGAATGCTCTACTTAGAACAACATGGTGAGCAACCTCACAAGTGAGTGTACAGTCTTCTTTTCATTTTCCCTCTATGAAATCACATATGAACATCCTCACCTCAACCTCAGTAACGGAAAAAAAATGCAATGTGCCTCCTGTATGAAGAAAATAAAAAACAGAACTCGAAAACAAAATGCCAAAAGTGTAGCGGGCATTCAGGGGTAAAATCTTCAAACTTCCAATTATATGAAATCTTTCCTAATTGCCGATATGTACTCAATCCAGTGTTTCCACAGTCTTTTAAATTTGTCTGTTTCCAATCTGGAGGAGAAAGTCAACCTCTCCATAGTGTATATGTTATATATTACATTGAGCCAGTCCTCAACATTAGGTACCTCTGTCTTTAGCCACCTTCTGGTGACAGCTTTTTTGCTTGCAATCAACATTATTCTAAACATGTATTTGTCACTGTGACTTGTAAGTCCCATGATCTTTTTTCCCAAGTAAATCACTTCAAATGAGAGTGGAAGTTTTAACCTCAATACCTTCTCCATACATGTCCTAAGCTCCTGCCAGTAGACTCCAATATGAGGGCAACCCCAAAAAACATGGAAGTGGTCTGCCTTGTCTGCTCAACATAACCTCCAGCACTTTGTATCTTGGTATTTCTTCTGTGCTGGTGTCATAAAAAATCGTGTTATGTTCTTCCATCCATATTCTCTCCAAGATAAGGAGCATGTTGTCTTCCATTGTTGCTCATTAATCTCTTCCCACTCTTCTCCTGATATTATATGTGCCTCCTTCTCCCACTTCTCTTTCATATATGAAGTGTCATTCCCTTTTAAGTCCTCTACATTTAAATACAATTTTGAAATTAATTTTTTACCCAACTGTCCTTCCAGCGCTGAAGTAAACATTTTAACAATTCCCACCTCAAGCCGTTCTAGATTGACCTTTGTTAGCGTTTGTGATAGATAATGTCTCATCTGTAGGTATCTGTAAAAATCCTCATTAACTAAGCCATAATGATCTTTTAATTCTTGAAAGCTTTTAAACTCCTTTTTATTAATTAGCTCACAGTACGTTCATGGTCCCCTTTCCCACATTTTAAACTTGTTATCTGTCCTGTTTGGCATGAATTCTGAATCAAATGCAATCCATCTTATTGCTCTGTGTTCTATCAAGCTATTCTTTGAAATGATTCCAAACCAGATTTTGAGAGATACACCTAGCCATGGATTCATCTCCTCGTTAAGATGTTTCATCAGGTTCTTGTCTCCTAATATAGCCTGTATAGGCATGCCATGAGTTGTACTACTTTCAATTTCCTTCCATTTTGCTGAGTATGAAGGATTACATAAATGTAGTAATGTTTTCATTGGTGCCGCTTCATAATAACTTTTCAAACAGGGGAGAGCTAAACCTCCCTTAGATTTGGGTAGTTGTAGAGTTCTAAATCTAACCCTTGGTCTTCGACCTTGCCAGATGTATCTTGAGATTATTTTATCCCATTCTATGAAGTCCTTATCTGTTACCTCTACTGGAAGCGTCTGGAACAGGTAGAGCAGTCTTGGGAGTATATTTATTTTAATTACCTCCACTCTTGAGGCAATACTCATAAAAGGAATGAGACTCCATCTTCCTATATCAGATTTTATTTTGGAGATCAGTGGATCATAATTGATAGCTATGAGTTTGCTTAGTTCTTGTGGCAGACTTACTCCTAGATATTTCATAGAGTTTAATTCCCAATTAATTCCATATTTTTCAATTAGGTTTCTGTAACCAGAAAATTTACCGTAGTCTATCAGAGCTGACATTAGTGCTGGGAAAGATGAATAAGGTCTTGACAAATATACCAGGACATCATCTGCGAATAGCCCCAATTTCTGTTCTCCCCCCTCCATTTTCACCCCTTTTATGTTTTCATTTTGCTTTATCCATTGGCTTAACAGTTCTAAGAAAATGGCAAAAAGGAGAGGACTCACTGAACATCCCTGTCGACATCCTTGTTCGAGAGTGATTGAATTTGAGAGACTTCCATTAACCTTGATTCTAGCAGTTGGCTTATTATAAAGAGTCTGTATGGTCCTAATAAAGGATGCATGAAAATTAAATTGCTCCAAAACGCTATACAAGAAATCCCATTTTACTGAGTCGAATGCCTTTTCTGCATCCAGTCCCACCACCAATGCTTCTACCTGTTCTTTTGCTAAATGTTGCAGCACGTGCAGGGTGCGTCTGATGTTGTCCTGTGTCTGTCTCTGTTTTATAAAACCTGTCTGGTCCAAATGAATAATTTCTGGTAAAACATTTTCTAACCGTCTAGCCATAATAGCAGTAAATAATCTGTAATCTTGATTAAGGACACTTATGGGTCTATAATTCGAACAATCCAATTCATCCTTTGCTTCTTTATGGATTACTGAGATGGTGGCCTCCCTCTACGAGATCGGAATTTCTCCCTTCTTCAGCACCCAGTTAAAGGTGTTTTGTAGCAGGGGTATCAGTATTTGTCTAAGTGATTTATACCATTCTGATGTGTACCCATCGGGGCCAGGGGACTTGTTAGTCTTTAGTTTGGAAATTGCTGTGTTTATTTCTTCAGCTGTGATTTCTGCTGTAAGGGCCTGGTTTTGTTCCTCTGTTACTCTTGGTAAATTAAGAGATTTAAGAAATAAATCTACCTGCTCTCTGTTATTAATCTGTGGTTGGGCATAAAGTGTTTCATAATATGAACGAAAACATTTATGGAGTCCCTTATTTTGTAAACACAATTTTTTGCCTGTTCCTTTTTCAATTTATAGGCCAGGAGTTTTGTAGCTTTACTTCCAGCTTCGTAATACCTTTGTTTCATAAACATTAACTTTTTTTTTAATTTCCTGCGCCTGTAGTTCATTTATTAGTTTTTTCTTCTCCTTGATTTTGTTATTTATATTCTCATCTCATTTTTTTTTTGTTCTCTTTCTAATGTTGTTAAATCTGCTTGTAGGGTAACAAGTTCCTTCTGCTTCATCTTTTTCAAGTATGTTGATTTGGCAATTATTTTCCCTCTTTCCCTCTCCCGCTTTGCAAGCATCCCACAAAACCGGAGGGGACACCTCTCCATTATCATTTTCCTCCATGTATGTCTTTATCTCTTTAATGATTTCTTCCCTCATATTGCCTTTAAGTACATTTGAGTTCAGTCTCCAGAGTGTTACCTTCCTCTCATTTGCCAGACTAATAGTTAAGTAAACCGGACTATGAGCCGAGAGGTCCATAATTCCTATATCACACTTATGTACCCTGTATCTGTCTTTATTGTACATCAGAAAGTGATCTATCCTTGAATATACTGAGTGTGCCGAAGAGAAGAAAGTGTAATCCTTGCTTGTTGGATTCAAGTCTCTCCAAACATCAATTATACCTAGATCAGACATCAGCCCGGTAAACTTTTTACTCATTGCAGTTTTCTGTAGTCCTCCTGCAGAGGTGTCTAAATGCGGGGTCAGTCTCATATTCAAATCCCCTCCACTTATTAAAACGCCATCCCCCTCAGATGCCATCATATCAATTGGCTGCCTGTAACTAAGTGTAACTAACTCTCCTTCC